AAGTATTTTTGTTACAGCGCTAAGACCCTGACACTGGCTAAGGCATCTCAACTCAACCAACACACCATGCCTTCTGCCGTGTAGCACGCGATGCCCAAAACACACAGACTGGTCGTGGCTAGGAGGCTTTGCTCTAACTCCCATGAACTTCTGCTCCAGCAGATTGAGTTCTATTCTAAGTTACGGTGCCTTGAGTTTCCTTCCAAATCGTTTTATGTCAGTTGCCCTTGCTCTCGGAGTCATGTGACTCAGTGAACGTTTTTACAACAACGGATGGAATGAAGAATGGAAAAAAAAAAGACATCTATTGAACCTAAGTCAAATGGAAAAGACTCGCTATAGAGAGGGAAGTCACTGAAAAAAAAAGTCACTGTCAAATTAGGCACGCATAAGATGACTGCCAGATGGAAATGACAAACTGTGGCACTCTGGAAGGATTCTGCACTCAGCTCTCTTCCCAAGTGTCCAAGTTTCTGCTTCATTTTATATAAACCCACAATATAAATCATCAGTGATGTAATGAGGGTGTGGTTTAGGCAGAAATACATGTCTAATCAGCAGCCTCATCCATCAAAACATTGGCAAAACAAATGTACATTTTATATAAGTGCATTTTAATATGTTATAATTCAAGATATGTCAAATATGTATTTTTTAAAGTTTATTTATTTTGAAAGAGAGAGAGAGAGCAGGAGCAGGGAAGGGGAAGGAGGAAAGAGAGAGAGAGAGAGGGAAAGAAAGAATCCCAAGCAGGCTCCACACTGTCAGCACAGAGCCCGATGTGGGGCTCGATCTCACAAACTATGAGGTCATGACCTGAGCCAATATCAAGAGTCAGACGCTTCACTGACTGAGCCATTTAGGAGGCCATTTCTGTTTTGTGTGTGTGTGTTGTTTTTTTAGTTTATTTATCTTGAGAGAGAGAGAGAGTGTGTGCGTGAACATGAGTGGGGGAGGGGCAGAGAGGGAGGAGAGAGAGGTCAGATGTGTATTTTTTGTGATTCTCCTCCTTACTGACTTTGAACCAACCTCAATCACACCAAATAAGAAGGATCCTATAGTTTGATTACCAAAATTATCAATGTTACTATAATCAAGTTGATGAGACAAATACAGGATCTCCATTTTGCAACAAGCAAGTGGGTTCGAGAGACTTGACCAAGGTCACTTAGCAGGTAAGGGGTCGGTATCTGAACCCAAGTCTGATGCGAAAGCTCACGTCTTCGCCGTCTCTCAGTGACCCGTGGGGTGGATGGCTCAGTCCCCCAGACCACAGCCTGGCCCTCCAGATGCTGATTAGTCTCTGAGTCCTGCCCTTGCCCACCCCTAACCCCTTAGCTTCTTACCTTAGGGCCTGGACGTCCTGGGTAACCTGGGAGACCTGGCAACCCCAGCTTGCCCTGCAGAAAAATTATGGGACAAAGGTCAGGAGTTGAACCCTGAGGATCAGGAAAGAAAGGGCAGGATGGCTGGGACAGGGGGGCGGGGACAACAGCGTAGAATTCAGGGAAACGTGAGTTCAAGTCTTGGCTCCTGGCTGCTACAGGCATGTCTTTGGGCAACTCATTCCATTCAATTCTGTTGCGAACCTCAGTTTCTTTGTCTGCAAAATGGGGGTAAAAATGCCCGTCGCCTGCGGTGGGGATAAAAATCAGATAATGTATTATGTGCAATTTCTCTATCATGCTGAGTGAAGGAATCAGAGACAGCGAGGTAGCAGTCTCCTGAGGCTGGAGACAAAACAGCCAAGGGCAGAAGGCAAAGCGCCAGGGAACACCTTCGCTGCAGGATGGGAAGCTGGAGGGTAGACTGGAGAGAGGGTGACCACGGTCCATTCACCTTCTCCCCAGCTGAGCCTGGGGGCCCCTCCTCGCCGGCCAGCCCCTCCTGCCCCTTCAGCCCTTCGGGACCATCTTCTCCCCGAGGACCGGGGGGCCCGGAGGGTCCCTGCAATAGAAAGGCGGTATCAGGCCCTGTGTCACTCCGGCCGCCTCCAGCTCCCTGTCTTAGCCCCAGCACCCCCACCCCCACCAATGTCTTCCCCAAGCTCCCCAGAACCACTAGATCCCTCATCTGGAAATCATCTTACCCGATCTCCTTTAAGCCCCCCATCGCCCTTGAAGCCTGGGAAGCCATCCTCTCCCTGGGGGAGAGAGAGTGTTAGAGGTCAGAGGTCAGAGGTCAGGGTTTCAGGGAAGGGACACAACCAGAAGCCCGTTATTAGGGCTCCCCTCAACCAGGAATCCCCTTCCTTCTCACCTTCTCTCCTTTCTCCCCCTGGAGGCCACGGTTGCCAGAGGTACCCTGAAAAACAAAAGAGACCTCCAGCCCCTCTCCTGCTTCAGAAGGGCCTTCCAACTCAGTTCCCTGTCCCAAAACAGTCAGGACAGACCCAAAAGGATATTGGACACGAGTGGAAGGGGGCAGCCTCAGAGGAAATGACCCTTCTCCAAAGCCTTGCTAGTGTGGTGTGCAAGAGGCTGCCTCTCCGCCCCTCTTCCCACTGGCAGCCTCCCAAGGTCATCTGTGTGGGGGTGTGCAGGGAAGGCCAAATTTCCGAGTAATTGATTCCAATCTCCCGGGGACACAGTGTCCACAGTTCCTTCTGGCAGGAGAATGAAGATGAACATTCCAGGCCCCAGTCTCATTCTAAAGGCAAAGGAATGTTCCCCATTGTGCTGGCTACAATGCGACTCTGTGCCTGGCAACAAAGCCAGTCTGTGCTTAGCTACACCAAGGCTGCTCAGTTCAAGCCCAGGTGCCCAAACCCGGGCTTGGGTTGCAGTGAAAACTGCACTTGGCTACAATGTGACTGAGCTCAGAGACTATAAAGAAATTGCACTTGGATACAGCCTAACTGTGTTTTGACAATAGCATGACTGTCTCCAGCCACAGAAAGACACATGTAACTGAGCTCAGAGACTGTAATGAAATTGCACTTGGATACAACATAACTGTGTTTTGACGATAGCATGACCGTCTCCAGCCGCAGAGACACAAGGTTTAACTGAGCTCAAAGACGACAATGAAGTTGTACTTAAATACAGTAGAAGTATTTTGACCCTCGCCTGCCTCCGGGCAATTCCTTTGACTGCAGTGTAACCAAGCTTGGCTACCGTGATTCTCTGACCCTGGCTACAACGAAACTAGACTCAGCTACAACATGGCCTTCAACTCTCTCTCTATAATTATGGCTGGTTACAACATAACTCTGACTTTGGCCACCCATAGGACTCTGTGGCCAGCTGCAATAGAACCACCTCCTTGGCTCGGAGATAACTGAGCTTACCTCCAGTGCAAAAATGTGACAAGTTGCCTCTTGGCTACCACCAAACTCTGTTCTCAGACCACAGGTACTTGGCTACAACGTGACCGGACTCATACAAATGTGAAGTCCAACGTCCCTGCCCTCGGTCAACAGTACGGCTCTTGGCTTATCCCAGCATTTCTGTGCTTGAAGATCATATGGCCCTGGGCTTGAGGTAAGACAAACTGTCTGCTTCACTACAGAGTGCTGACCTGGACTGAGCTTAGGCCCTTCATGGGCCTAACTATTCTCAGTTACAAGGTGACAACTACATGACGGTACCTCCCTTTGGCTGTTCAGCTCCAGGTAACACACACATTTCTACCTACTGTCACTCAGATTGAAACCCCACTCCCACCATGCCTTTCCTGCAGATCGATACCTCTCAGCACATGTGCACAGGTTTACCATGAAGCTGGTTCCCTGGAGCTCATGCCAATGAATCACCCCTACTTATGCGCCCCAAGCATCACCTACCTTCACACCCCGAGGTCCAGGATAGCCCGGGGGTCCTGCTGACCCTGGTGGACCCTGGGATGGAGATAAGATCAGTGCCGTCCTGTCCTTCCCCCTCCATGTTACCAGTGCCCTCGTTCCTCTCCTCATGAGCCCCTGACTCCTGGCCCTGCCCTACCAACCCTCATCCCCAACCCGGCCTCTCTCCAGGCCACTCACCTGGGCCCCTTTCTCTCCTGTGGGACCCTCATGGCCTGGGTGACCCTGGGGAAAGAAGTTGTCAGGGACCTGGATTTGCCATCCAAATTCCCAAGCCTCCCCCTTCTCCCTCCTCCTTCTGCCAGCACCCACTTCTCACCGGAGGGCCATCAGATCCTTGAATGCCTGGAATACCTGGGTTTCCAGGGGGGCCCTGAAAGAAGAACAGTAGGGAGAGACACAGAGTCTCAGTCTGGCATCCCACCAAGAACAGCCCTACTCAGACATGCAGCGACATCAAGGTCACAGAACAAGCACACCCCACAGGCTACGAAACCTCTCCCTAGCTCTGCCCAGTCTTACTGAGTGACCCTGGGCCAGCCCCTTTCCCTCTCTGAGCCTCAGAAATCCTTCACTCCTGGGAGAGTGGAGACAAAGGAGGTAAAAACAGGGTGAGGAACACGTTGAGCTGGGGGATTCTTCAGCAATATCCCTTTCTTTAGAAGTGCCTCCACCTTCATCTGAGAGAGGTGGGCCTAGGCAGGCAGGCATGAGGTGACCCCTGTGTTCTGCGAATAGTTGATAGGTCCAGAGGCGGGCACTGGGTCCAACTAAACCAATCATTTTCTTCTGAGAATTTGAGGTAAGCGACGTCTCACTTCATAGAAACTATGATCAGGTGGGTTTAGGTAAAGAAACTATAAGGCCATGCGGAGCTGGGGGCTGAAATGGTGATAAATCGTGCAGAAACGGGACTGGCGGGGGGGGG